TTCAGATGGAGAGACCTGAAACCTTTGAAATGATCTGAAGTGGCTGAAGCTTCTGAAAGAGGTTTCAGGTCCCCCCATCCAAATGGTTGGATGGGAACCTCTTAAACCGCTTTCAGATTTTCAGCTACTTCAGATCATTTAAGGAGTTTCAGGTGGGGAGATCTGAAACCTCTGAAATAATATGCAATGGCTGAAGCTTCTAAAAGCGGTTTCAGGTCCCCCCATCCAAATGCTTGGATAGGGGGACCTGAAACCGCTTTCAAAAGCTTCAGCCACTTCAAGTCATTACAGGAGTTCCGGTTGGGAATTTGAAACCTCTGAAATGACCTGAAGTGGTTGAAGCTTTTGAAAGTAGTTTCAGGTTTTCCCATCCAAGTACCTCACACCCGTCTGAAGCAGCTGAAAATAACATGAAAATAAAGACATCTATTAACCTTCTCTCTAGTGGGGCCGAGAACTGGCACGGAGATGCGAATGCCTACGCGAGAAGGGGAGATCGAGGGCTCGAGGGGCCTTCCTATAGAGTCTCGGTGGGCGGATTTACCTGACACAAGAATGGGAGAAGCTCTCGAATTTTCAAGAGATAGGTTGGGTTACCGGCCACCGAGGAGAGAAGAGGAGGGGGGACCGAGTAGAAGGGACTTTAGAGACAAGAGGCCGGCGGAGGCAGGTAGTAGGCCACGAAGATGGGTCGTAAGAGAAACGGATGCTGTCCGGGTTCCCGACGAGATAACGGGCAGAAATCAGGGGGTGGAGGCCTGGAGGAGCTTTAGGGGGCAGGGCCCCGCTCGGTGGGAGACGGATTGGCTGGATGAGCGAGGCCGCTACGGGGAAGACCCCTGGGAACCGCCTAGACCCCGGGGCCGGGTGGAGGAGTCGGATCCCTCGTGGTACAAGCCGTACGACCCGGCAATCGATGGCCCAATGGAAGGTCCCTATTTTCGCCGATACGACAACCGACGAGTCCCTTATTACGATGTCAACCTAGGTCTGGAGACACTTTTCTTCGACGGACGGGATGTGACTGGGTTCGTGGAGAAATGAGAGAGTTATGCTTACCGTAAAAGATTCTCCGAAAGGGAGTGGATCGACTATTTTATCCAGCACTCGGACCCCGAGTTACACCCCGCGATTCGGGCTATCTACCCCTCAGACGGACAGTGGAGGACCTTCAAGGCGAGCCTATTGCAGACTTTCGCCTGTGATGACCAGATCCCGACCGTGGAGGGCTTGTGACGAATCACAAGGGGGGAACGGGAGAGCTTGGTAGCCTTCACCCGTAGGTTCAAGCGCCTGTCCCAAGCCCTAGTGGATAGGGGTATGCTATCTGAAGTAGATAGGTGCGTGATGTTCATGCTACACCTGCCCGAGAAAAATAGGAAAGAGGTCCTTGAGAAGGCCCTGAGGGATTCTGCCTATTTCGATAAAGTCACGGAGGTGGTTTTCACGGAGGGAGGAGTAGATGTGAGGGATTACATGAAGGAGACCTTGGACATGACACTCTGCAACATCCGAGGCACGCGGAACGATGGTCCGAGGGGGAACGATAGACCGCCCCCGGGGCCACCTGGTCCCCGGTGGGGAGAACGGCCGACCGGATGGAGGAACGAATCAAGTGGCCAAGGAGGTTGGAGGAACGACCGGGAGATAGGGGGGAATCGTGGTTCCGATAGGGGGAGTTCCCATTGGAAGGATGCTAGGGATGGAAGATGGGGAGACACCCCTCAAGCAAGGACTTTTGGGCCACGACCGGAGGTTAGGGCATCACCGCCGCCGGCACCACCGCCACCGACTCCACCTGCGCCTATAGCGACGGCCACACAAGGGGGTCCGCGCCCCAACAACCCACAAGCTCGAAACGGGTGTGTCTACTGCAATGAAGAAAATCACATCAAGAGGGACTGCCCTTATCTCACGGAGGCCTTAAGATTGGGGGTGGTCAAACTGAATGAGAACAAGTGGGTTGTGTGGGGAGATAGCGGAGAGGCGGTCTCCTTTTACCCATCAATGAAGGTGAACGTAGACAAAAGGATGGCCCTCCAGGAGGCTAGGTTGGGGAAGAAACCGGAAGTCGGGAGCTCCTCCAACACAACCCATATCCAAATGACGGAGTCATCGGGGGGGGTGTCCATTAGGGAACCCCAGGTGTCAAGCATTAAGTTTATAGAAACCCAGCCCGAGGAAGAGAGGTCTTGCCTAAGGGTGAGAACGCAGGTTGGGACCGAGACGTCTGAGAGCCAAGCTAACGTGACGGAGGGTACGGAAGTAAGGAGCGGCGACAATGACCAACCGATGGCTGATGCAAAAGCGGTGGAGGAAAAGAAGGAAGAGCCCACCTCACCCAAATCGCCTAAAAAAAAGGGGCCCAAAAAGTTCAAAATGAAGTGCACTCTGGATGAGATAGACACAGTAGCCCCCCTTAGGAGGACCCTGATGCATCCTATGCAGTGCACACTTTTGGAATATCTAGCCGCCAGGAAAAGCGCCAGGGAAAAACTCCTAAGCATCACGAGGAAGGTAAGAGTCCCGCTCGCATGGGGGCCCACGGTACCGGTGGAGGGTCCAGCCAAGGAAGAAGTACAGGCCTCCCGCGTTACCATGGAGGAACTACCTGCCAACTTCTTCTCGGGAGAAGAGGCCAAGAAATTCTACGTGTTAGGTAGCGGCCAGCTCCAGGCAGTGGTAAGTGGGAAGAAAATAAGGGCCCTAGTGGATAACGGGTCCGAGTCTACGGTGTGTAGGGACTCCCGGGAACTGGGTTTGGAGATAGATCGAGGGGTATCGATGTCAATGGTAGGGGCTGATAACAAGCTGCAACCGGCGGAAGGAGTGTGTCATAGTCCCGTGATTGAAGTCGCTGGCGTAGAGGCCACAGTCCCGATCTTTTCAATAAAAGAGTGCTTCTCCGAATTGATCCTCGAAAGGACCTGGCTGAGCGCAGTACACGCGACCACGGTTGATTTGCCGGATGGAAGTCAGACCCTCTCGATCCAAAGTCCTGATGAAATCTGAGTAGTCCTAAGGACCGTAGACGCGCAAGATGAACGTAACCGGACCAGCATTGCTAGACGCAAGGGGAGTCAGTCGAGGGTGTGCCGAGTCCGTCTGGAGGAGGTGCCCTTGGCGGATAGGGGTCCCAAGGGGGACCAATTGAAGGTCGAGGACGTAGGGGATAGGATTTTCATTAACGGTATGGGGTACGAGAAGGAGGACGAGGAGGAGGAGTTCGGTGGATGCGTGAGTATGTCTTTTTTGGAGGTATCCCCCTAGCCGGCAGAGTTAAGAAGCACAAAACCGTGGCGGAGAAAGTAAAGCCCGCCGCGGTCAGCCGGGATAGAACGAGGGAAGCTACGATATCGGAGGAGGAGATCGCTGATATCATCAGGAAAAGGAAAGAGACCGAAGGGCAAAGGATAACGGCCGATAGGTTGGCCAAGATGGATATAGGGGATGGGAATCTCACGGAGAAAGAGAAAGAGTTCATAGCCATGACCTTAAGGGACTGCGATAAGGTCATTGCCTTTGATGACTCGGAGAGAGGGAGAATCGACCCAAGGTATGCTAAGCCGGCCCGGATCCACACGGTCCCGCACGTGCCTTGGAAGGATAGCCCTCAGTGGAAGTACGCTCAAAAGGAGAAAGAGGAGATAGTAGCCTTCATCAAGGAAAAGATCAGGACGTTCGTCGCGGAACCTTGTGAGAGTGCCTACTCCAATAAGTGGTTCTTTCTGAGGAAGGGGGGTAGCAACAAACTGAGATGGATTCAAAACCTCCAAAGGACCAATGCGGTCACCATAAGAGACGTGGGGTCCATACCTGAAGCCGACTTGCTAGCTGAAGGACCGGCAGATCACTCAATATATTCTATCTGCAACCTCTTCTCGGCGTATGATGAGATTCCTTTAGATTACCGAGACAAGCACATGACCGCCATGCATACGCCTTTAGGGCTGGTTCAAATGATGGTGGTACCAATGGGTTGGACGAATGGGGTAGCGGTGTTCCAAAGGGCCATGATCACGGTCCTCAAGGAGTTCATACCGGAGAAGGTGGAGGTCTTCCTAGATGACTTCCCGATAAAAGGGTCGGTCGAACGGGATGAGACGGAGGTCTTCCCGGGGGTGACAAAATTCGTGGCCGACCACATGAGTGATGTCAGAAACGTCCTTGAGAAGTTAGATGATGCCAACCTCACGGTAAGCGGAGCTAAGAGTCGTTGGGGCGTGTCCTCCATCAAGATACTGGGGTTCATTTGCGATAAGGATGGGCGAAGGCCCGACCCCGAAAAATTAGTGAAATTGATGACCTGGCCGTCACCGCTTAAGTCCATAACGGAAGTCCGACAGTTTCTAGGGGTTGTGGGCTACTGGAGAATCTTCATAAAAGCCTATGGAGAGAAAGCAGAACCCCTTCGGAGACTCCTTAGGAAATCGGAAGGATGGGTTTGGGGAGAAGAACAGGTCGCAGCCATGGAAGCCTTAAAGGGGGAGTTCCGCGAAGTCGGAGAGGTCCTAGGAGTTCCTTTCTTCGAAGATGAGGAGCATCGCCCCTTTATAGTTTCCACGGACGCGGGACCTCACTCGGTGGGAGGCCTCCTGTCACAAAAGGACGGAGAGGGGAAAGAGAGACCGTTGCGATTCGAAAGCCGGACCTTGAACCCCGCCGAGAGAAATTATAGCCAATTCAAAAAGGAGGTGTTAGGGGTACTGCATTGCCTAAAGGCTTTCCGTCATTACCTATACGGGTGACAATTTCTTCTCAGGGTGAACCCGACAGCAGTGGCCGCTGTCCTCCAAAAATATTTATCGCTGACCGATCCGACCATCGCACGCTGGATTATTCATATTAGGCTTTACGACTATAGGGTCGAGAGGATATCGGGGACTAAGAACCAGGTCGCAGACGGATTGTCCCGGCTTCCCATTCGTGAGGAGGACCTACCTAGGCTTAAGGAGGAAGAAGTGACAATGGCCAAAGAGGAGACAATGAAAGTCGCCGCTAATAGGCCACAAATAGCGGGAAGCAGCCGAGGGGAAGAAGGGGGCCCAATGACTTTTCTCGCAAATCTCTACGACGGGAAGTACCGAGACATAGGACTGTACTTGGCCGGTAGGGAAACAGGGACTGGAAGAATCCAGCAAGAGGCGCTGGGGTATTGTCTGCGGGGAGGCCATCTCTTCAAAAGACCCACTAAGTTTGCGATACCCATGAGGGTGTTGTGCGATCCGGAGGAGAGAAGGGCGGTCATAGAGGAGTTACACGATGGGGTCGTTGGAGGTCACAGGGGGGTGAAGGGTACTTTCGATAAGGTCCGTAGGCTTTATTGGTGGGACAAGCAATACACGGAAGTGGAAAAGTATTGTTCAACATGTGAGGCTTGCCAGAAGAGGGCAACGGTTCGATACAAGGAACCCTTAGTTCCATCGCTTCCCACGGTTTCGGGAGAGAAGGTCCACATAGATTTAGTAACCATGCCGAAAAGGGGTCGGCGGACTTCGGTATATAATCAACGCTCGGGATGACCTCACCGGGTTCGTAGAGGCAAAGGCCATTAAAAAGAAGACAGCTGAGGAGGTAAGTGAATTTCTCCTTGAATATATCGCGCGGTACGGGTGTGTCGGGGGAATAGTTATGGATAGAGGCGCAAAGTTCTTGAGCCAAAAGGTAAAAGTGTTATTGGAAAAGGTGGGAATAGGGGCAGCCTATACGACCGCTTATCACCCCCAAAGCAACGCGCCGGTAGAACGGGGTCACCAGACTCTTGTGGACGCTCTAGCGAAATGGTGCAAAGGGCGCGCGGAACAGTGGCCGAGGTATTTGCGGTACGCAGTTTGGGCCGATAATATCACGGTCAAATCCAGTACGGGGTATCCTCCTTACACCCTCTGGTTCGGTAGGCATTGTCCTCTACCATCGAATTCCACATTGACACTTGGACGAGCGTCTCATGGAAAGCCAACATGTCTAGGGGTGAATTGTTGGAGGCACGGATACAAAAAATAGCCGAGAACTTTGATACTAGGATGACCACGGCTAGCGAGAATGTCGAGAGAGAGAGAGACAGTAAAAAGTAAGGATAGGTGGGACAAAAATCTGTGGGTCCGAAAGGCGCCGATAGGGGTTAACGACCTAGTGCTGATGTACGATTCGTCACTTGAAAAGACCTGGAGCCGGAAATTGGCAAACCGATGGATGGGGCTGTATAGGGTCCTAAAGAGATTGGATGGGGGGGCTTATATGCTCACTGAACTAGATGGGAGTAGGCTACGGGATCCTATAGCAGGGGCTCGCCTCAAAATCTTCCGATCAAGAGGGACCCTTGGGGAGGAGCCGGAGCGGAAAGGAAAGGAGGCTATTGACACAGAGGTGACTGCGACGCACGAAAAAAGGGAGACCTCCAAACAAAGAGCCTCTTCTCGACCACCAAAGAAAGGATATAAGGTCCGAAAACCTACCCTACCAAAAACCCCTAGGAAGACGAAACGACCGAGAGAGGATGACGGAGATGCTGGCCGATTAAGGGAATACAGGTTGAGCGACAGGAGGAATGCGTCAAGAATGGCCCTGAGACTCAAACGGGAGAGAAAGGAGAGAAAACGGAAGAGAGAGAGGCGCGAGAGGAGGATGAGGAGACGGAGACGGGCATAGAGAAGGGGAGAAGAATGGTGTACCATAGTTAGGAAAACGTGTCCCGGGAAAGGTGATACGCCATAATGTACCACAGTTAGAGAAACGGGTGTCGTAAGGGGCGATGGGTCGTAATCCTGGGAGGGTATTGTACCATACACTGGTGTCATGTGTCGTGGGTCATTGAAGGCGTTGCGGCTAAACGGTAGGGTCGAGTCTAGTAAAAAGAGAAATACAACGAAGCCTAACCGGGGAAATGAGATGGAACGGAAGAAACTTTTCATGGGTAAGCATTGGGTTAGGGGCAGTGGTTAAAAAGAAAGGGGTCACGAAAGAGACTCGCCGGGGACGTCGAGAAATGGGGTGTGGGCTGGTTGTCGGGCGACTGCCTACCAGCCGATGGTTTTTTTCTTTAAAAATGGAAAACGTTTTTTCCTTCGTTGCTGTTTTTTTGCTTGGTTTTGACGTATGCATGCATGCAGGTATGATGTTTTTGATGTCCTCGGGCCTTCGGGCCTTCATGCTAACCCTTTCAATCGGCTGGAGTAGCGGTCCCCGCCTTGGTCGCAAGCAGGCTCGGGCGGATCCAAAAAGATTGGAGTTTTGGAGTCAAAGACAGAGAATACGGGGCGGGCGGCGCAAGTCAGAATGGACCTTGGCCGAGTCAAAAGCAGTGGGGTGAATGAGGGGCCAAGCACCGGGATAGGAGGCCTCACGAGAAAAAGAAGAAAGGGGATTGATGCGAGCACGCGCAAAATTCATTGTGGAGCGGCGAGGCGCGATTTGTTCCTGCCAAAACTCTGATTTACACCATTCGATGAAATATTGCAACCACAAGCATTATTTCGAGGGATCAGCCGACTGGCGCGGCACTGCAGTTCGATTCGTCAGAGACGGCAGCTGGCCATCGATCGAATGGGAGAATTGCCGGCGCAGAACGAACAACTAAGAGTCAGGAGGTGAAGGGAGAAGAAAAGAGAAGGGGAGAAGAAGTTGAAGCGGAACAAGCCAAGGTGGGGCAAATAGACGCAAGGATGCTGTGGAGCAGCCTCGAAAGTGTCTTGTCCGCGATTCGGGCATTTGTTCCACAATTATCCCCAGGGAAACACAAAGGCCAGGCAGGTGAGATAGCTGTTGTGGGAGGTTGCAGGGAATACACCGAGACTCCATATTTTGCAGCAAAAGCACGTGTCTTTTGTGCCAAAGATGCGGGCCCGGTGATTAAGAGCTACAGTCCAGAGCTGATTGTGCACCCTGTACTGAAGGAATCGTACGATGCCAACTAAAAAGCTGGATTGCCGGTGGACTTTGGGATGGTCCGCAAGAGATCCGGAGAGAAGGAACCCGTGAGGGGCCGGGTTTGACTACGAGAAGAGGCCGGGCCTCTCCACCATTACCCGCTGCAGCGAAAGCAACGTTCGACGAAAAGGCAGTCAAGGCAAGGATAGTGGCTGCAACTTGATGGGTCCCGGAGCGATGACAACTTCCCCGTCAGCGGATTTGGGGGTCTACAGTGGGCAGGTTGCGAGCGAAGTAGGTGGGGCCACGACTCACCTGCTTGAAGGAAGCAGGAAAGACGGTTGAAGGCGGAGAGCTCGCACGTGCATTTGCCAACTAGGGGGGCGAAGGAGGAAGGTCAGGAAATTGCAGAGGCAGGAGAAAGGGGCGAGCCATCTTGGAAAACAAGGAGGGAGGTGGAGAGCCGCGACTCGTGGATCCGAGAGCAAGACGTTCGAAGGGAGAAGGGCACGCCTGTAGCGAAGGGGTTCGACTGAGAAAAGGACGTGGGGGTCACCTCGGCTTGAAGGAGGGCGGTTGAGTGGGGCCGGCATTTTTACCTAGCGTGAACTGGGGCATTATGAGACTTGGGAACAAACCCGCGGCTCCGGTGTGGCCGCCCCCGGAAGAGAGATTGGCACGGGGAACTCGGGTTTTTGGCTATGAGTCCGGAGTCCGCTGTTGGCCTGTTTTTTTTTTGGAAGCAGGAGGAACTGTGTCGATACAGTAGGGCCAAATGGTAAATCTTTGTGAAAGGAAGCGTTTTCCTGTGAGTCTGCATGGTCTCTCGAAGCTCAGGGTGCTCGATTGCAGTACAGTGGGTAGCTACCCTCCCCAACCATCCACGCCAAAGCCTGGGCGTAGATATCTTGAAAAGAGGGAAAAAAAAATGAGCTGGTATATCTGAGTTCTAACCGTATGAGGATGAAAAGAGCGCCGCAGGCTTCTTGTCAACCGCCGAAGGGGGGTGGCCCAGGTGGCATCAAGGGCGGCGGTTCGAGGACCACGGAATGTGAACGGTGTTCACGGGGAGATGCACTCACGGCCGAGTGAGCAAAGGATCGGGGAATCTACGAACAAAGTGGAGGGGGTGAATCGGGATCACAGATACGAACTCCGTCAGTCCGTTACCAGAAGTACGAGGAACCCTACTGGGAGGGATCTACGTGAGGGATCAGTAAAGAGGAGAAGGAGGGAAACAGAGAGGGATTAGGAAAAGAAGGCGGGACTTGGAATTTTTCGGCTTCTTGCGCCTTGAGTTTCTTGGTAACCGCTCAAAAAGGGGGAAGTGTGAGTTGCTCGCGCACCTGGATGAGAATCGGTCGTTGGTACTCGTCACCTGCGGGGACGCTGGAGCTAGAGATCGAGGCCAAGGTTCTGATTCCCGCCTGAGTTCCATGCGGAGGATGCGATCTTGGGAACTGGGGAGGCGGGAGATTGAAGATTTGACGAAAAATAGCTAAAAATTTGACAAGCAACTGGCGGGAGAACGGGGAGAGTGAGAAGTACGACCAGGAAAGTAGGAGGGGTGGTGATTGGAGGGGAAAAAAGAAGGACGGATCGACGGAGGGGAGAAAGGAGTATATAAGTAAGCGCCAGGGAAGGAGAGGGGATCGCGCACGAGGGAGAACGCACGTACACGCGCACTTGCCCCCATCAGTCGGTGCTGCACGTGCGAACGACCCCGCGGGCCAGCGCGGAGGAGTACGGGAGTATGCGCACGAGTTCAAAGCAATCACCGAGCGACAGTGCCAGGAAGGAAGAGGACGGTGCAAGCGAGGTGAGCACGGGCCGGAACGATCCGGGGGAAGCCGTAGTCGTGCGGTCTCGCGGGCAGCGCTCAAGAGGCGTTAGCTTTTCCCGAAAGAGGGAGAGCGAGGCGGGCCTGCCGCGGGGCGGGGTTGCTCGGAAGTAACCATAGGTGCTCCACAAAAGGAGGAGCGGCGATCGACGGCGAGGCAAGGGGGTAGGCGCCCGGGACCGTTCGCCACGTGCGTGTGGAGCAAACGTACGCCCTGCGCACGGAGTTACGTCGTCGTCTGGCCCTAGGACTGACGAGGAGACAGGGGATGAGGTGTCGTCCTGCAGGGCGCTTCAGATGCCCGGGCAGCACAGTGCACGGGAGGCGAGAGAATCTGGGGGAAAGAGTTACCCTGGGAGGCGGAGGTGGCGCGCCTCTTCAAAAAGCTCGGAAGCGCTACTCTCGAACAGGGAACGACGGACGTGCGGCCTGGCGGACTGGAGAGAGCTCGGGACATACCACGACTGAGTGCTCGCACGCACTAATGCAGAAAGGTCACTCGCCGAACCGAACCTGCGTAGGTCCCTTAGCACCGCGATCGCCTACTAGCTGCAGGGAGGAGCACTTCAGGGATCTCTGTCTCCAAGTTTCGAGCTCGGAGCTTGCGCCGCAGAGGCCCAGCAAAGAGGAAGAAATTCAGAAGTGTCACCTGAGAGAGGCCGGAGGTCTTACGGCGACACCACACCACTGAGAAGAGCGAAGAGTTATGCTGGCGGGAGTTTGTTGTTTTTCGAATTACCTTGCTTACTGACGAGAGGGTGTCGGGCGCAGGGAAACGAAAAAACTAGGGGGAGAAAGGAGGAGAGAAAAGAAAGAAGAAAGAGAGAGAGAGAAAGAGAGAGGAAGAAGAGAGAGAGAGAGAGAGGGAGAGAGAGTGAGAGAGAGAGAGAGAGAGAGAGAAAGAGAGAGAGAAAGATGAGATCGAGAGAGAAAGAAAGAGCGAGAGAGAGAAAGAGAGAGAGGGAGAGAAAGAGAGAGAGAGAGAGAAGCGGGAAAAAGAGAGAGAAAGAGAGGGAGAGAGACAGAGAGCGAAAAAGGGAGAGGAGTAGGGGGAAAAAGGGGAAGGGAGGGGACAGAAAAAGTGGGAGGAAGGGCCGGCAGCTCGGGAACGCCTCGAGGAGTGTTCGAGCGGCATCTATTTTTCCTTTCTTTTTGTATCTGATCCGAGGTCAGGGTGGGGGCGGAAGCTCAGCAGCGGACCTCCGCTCGCCGGGCTTAAGGTAGAAGCAGGGGAGCAGAGGCCGGCTGAACGAATCGGTCAGGAAACTTTGACAAGTCTGTGCGAGATCACCTCCGCCCGGAGTCTCACTTGAGCTTGTTTTTTTTTACCTTTGATCCATTTCGAGTCGAAGTCGGGTCGGTGGCTAAGCTATTACAGTTTACTTTGACTTCTCATTTAAACCCGCATTCTCATCTTTTTGTCCCGTTTCGAGTCGAAGTCGTGTCGGTGGCTAAGCTATTTGGCTTCTCGCTTAAATCCGCATTTTCACCTTTTGTCGCGTTTCGAGTCGAAGTCGGGTGGGCGACCGAACCATTGCAGTTTACTCTCGCCCCTCACCCGAGTTTACACTCTGTCCAGCAGTCGGCTCGTCTGGGTCTTAGTTTACAACCGGTCTCATCTCCGATTCCGAGTCAGGACCTCTACGCGGCTGGCGATGCTCTCGAGCCCACCGCAGTACACTTTCTTGGCATTTGTTGGAGTTGCTTTTGGTTCCAATTTCCGCAGGTCTGTGCCGGGACACCCTGTCCGCTACGGGTCAGTCGAAGGMTGGCCGCGACRCGRTWCGAACTRGCTCATAAAGTCCTGGGCYGCTTTTGACTTMTGCWCCAAGTGACTGTCAAGCTAAGTTTACTTTGAATATGCACAGCCGACTCCCTGCTTAAGGCCCGAATTGGGTCCGACAGAGTTCSCCAACCGRGATYYCGCATCCCCCTCTCTCCTCTCGGGCGCGATCTCAAACACCTCGGGGCTCGATTCGGYCCTCYYTATAGGGAACYTTTTAGCGGGCGGGTCGAACGTAGGAATACGGGGYGAGGGCCGYTATCARAAAGGGYCGGGGCATCGTTGGGGGAACGTTGGCAAGGGGARCCGGRAGAGTTGYCGGACAAAGWGGCGCCGTTGCYARGGATGAGCRTTTCTCCCGCGGCCGYGGCCRGCTCAAAGGACMCGGTGTAARGGGAGGACCAGCGTGACAGGCAGCGGTAGGGAGAGTCTGGGGCGTTCTGCAAATTTTCGGCATCAAGTCCTTCGGCAMACGGCTTCAAGGTAGTCTTCATCRGGKTCTAMGYGGTTCTTCTCAAGCGGCATCGGCGAGAGTTTTATTGGGGGGSGAGGGGCTGTTGTTGGGCTTGTCGGGTGCGAGGGGCTTTGGGTATTGGGCTTGTCTCCTTGGCTTTTTTGCAGGTCCGCTCCGGCYYGCTTRCGATYTCGRCTCCCGCTTCCGGCCTTCGAGGGGTAAAGCAGGTCAGTTTCTTTTTGTGTGCTTGGTTTTTGCGCATGTTTATTTCTAAAAACTTAAAAATTAAGGGGGTGCACAGTTTGCTTGAGGGGTCTGAATGAGGGTGAAGAACAACAAAAGGGTGGGAAGAAGAACAGTCCGGGAAAATAGTGTAAGGGGGTCTGCTTAAGGGGTAGAGAGAGAAAGGTGGAGAGGGAAAGAGGAGAGAGAGGGCCGAGAGGGTCCGGGGGCGCTGTCTATTTGGGACCCAAGGGGGTCGCCAAGTATTCTTGATCCGCACGGGTTGTGGAGGGCACCCACCCGGGGGCAAAGTCCCGCACGAAAGAGGGTGTCTAGAGAAGGGATAGGGGCTTCGGTTCTCGACCCGCGAGGGCTGACGACGGTTCCAACTCCCAAAAGGGAGCGGAACTCTCAAACGGGACCGGTTCGGGACTTGGGGGAGAGGAGAGTGGTGTTACGGGTACCGGGGCGAATGGGAGAAAGAGACACACCGACCCATCTTAGCGAGGGCGTTAGAGAAGAAGGGGGTACTTGGGGGACCTTGGACGAGTGGTCGGAGGCCGCACCCTGGGTGGACCGGTGTCTAGCCGATTTCTCGGACTCGAAATTGGGGGACTATTGGGCCTATGATAACGAATATTGAAGACTCAAGGTACGTATACTTATCAACCTTACCTGAGAGCCTCTTCCTAAAGCTCCGCTCTTCTCACCCCATTTTTTTTCTAACTTTCCGATTTTCCAGTGATTCCAAGAGAGAAAAGAGGCAGCGGGAGGCGGAAAAGGAAGAAGGAAACGAAGTGCGAAGAGTTCACGATGAGGAGAGTGGGGAGGGAGTAG